TTGCCAGACAGCAACTGTTAAACAGAAATGCCTAAGCCAAAGTGCCTTGCCTCACACATGCCAAAACATATTTGCAATGGAAATGTTTGTGCTTTAAAGGACAAGGGAACAAAAGGACAAGAGAAGGAGGATATTTCAGTCTTCTGTCCTCTAATCAGACGTTTACGCAGGATTGGTGTATGTTCTCCAACGTTTGCATCAAAATATTATGAACTAGCATAAAGTAGGGACAGGAGAAAGAGGTTATAGTTTGACAGATGATTTGCATTTAGAGAATGGTGACTAGGACCGTTTTTCCACAACTTTAACTGTTATGATTTTGTTCAAAGTCATGTTTTGTTCATATATGTTAGCAAATTTGACAGTTAGCACACTGCAAGGTTAACAGCCTCTTATTGTCTGTTTATAGGACTTTTGGCCCACATAGCCCTCTAGTGAGGGGTACATTAGTACTGTATACAGACACAGTAAAAATGTTAATTTTAAGCATCAAACTAAACAAGACATATTTGTACAACTTATTCTAAATGAAAAGCTTATTCTAGAGTTTAAAAACTGCTCAAACTGAAAAGCTTCTTAGAGTTAGACTTTGGAGGGTGGGAGTACTATAGCTGTGTTTCAGTCTTGTTCTGCAAACTTGAGACATGAGTGGTGCCGATAAGGTGGCATTTTAACATATCTGTGCAATTCTGATACTCCACAGAAGAGAGGGATGCATCAAAGAAATGAACGACCCAATGGAGATGATGGTGTTGCTTCAGTGGGAGTGGTATGACTGCAGCAGGAAGCTCTGTCCATATGCTCCCTAAATTACTCAAGACAACCCTAATTCAAACGTATAGCTATGGCACATTGGTCCCTCTCACATGTCTCAAAGTAGAAAAACCATGTGACTGACTGAGCTGCCAGAAAGTCAGTCCTATTAGGAAAGCTTTTCCCCCATCTGTTGTTTTGATACCAGTCCAGAACAACCACTATAGCAGACATGGGAGGAGTCAGAACTGCTTCAGAAACAGCCTTATGTGCTAGTATTAGCCTACCAGAATCATACACTGGTTTTCAGCATGGTCAGGGCTGTTTCCCTGAAGACTAGAGGAGTTACAGTGTGCTTTCTGCGGAGCTATTTTTGTTGTTGATTAGTTTAGTATTTGTTTTATGACCTTGCCAGAGATACAACAAGCAAGCAAGCAACTATGAGTCTCTTTCACTAACCAATATCTATTTTTTACTTAATCATTCTGCATTGATTGATTGATTGATTGGGTGGAGAAATAGTGGCTGGCTTGTTTATTTATTGAAACAAACCAGGCTTCCTCAACCTCGGCCCTCAAGGTGTTTTGAGACTACAATTCCCATCATCCCTGACTACTGGTCCTGCTAGCTAGGGATCATGAGAGTTATAGGCCAAAAACATCTGGAGGGTCGAGGTTGAGGAAGCCTGAAACAAACTCTGTATTAACAACCACTTCCCTACATTCACTCATTAGAAGCCGCAGCAGCTGTTGGGCTGGGCAAGTCAGGTCAGGTAGATCTGGACCATTTGCTATTCCAGGATATTTCCAGAAAAGGTGTGTGGATGTGGTTCCTACAAGCCCCTCTCCTAGCAGGGGATATATCCTGAATGCATAAAAATGGGGGGAAATGTTATCACTGTTATTTCTACCTTGCTCTTTTGTGAGTTTGTCAGTGAATTTCTAAAAGCAAAAGTTTGGGCTGTATGCCTGTCTGGATATGATTCCACACCCTCCCCCAAACCTGGAAAATATTCTCCTGACTCTCAAACAGAGGTGATTATTATAAGTCTGGTGTGATTATTCTGATTTTCAGGAACAAGTGACATATTGCAAATATGTTCTGATGTGCTCTGATGAGTCCCTCAAAAAGACAGCTAAGCAAATGTTGGCAATGTTCCCCCAAAAAGTTCAACAACTTTTCTGGCCTCTTAAAAAACTTTGGCTGATCTCCTAAAAAAAGCTCAACAATGAGGATTGCTATGTCTCTGTGCATATCACCAACCATTACAAGCAGGTATGTGTGTTTCAGACAGAATCGGTAAAGGTAAATGGACCCCTGACCGTTAAGTCCAGTTGCGGATGACTCTGGGGTTGCGGCGCTCATCTTGCTTTACTGGGCAAGGGAGCCGACGTACAGCTTCCAGGTCATGTGGCCAGCATGACTAAGCCGCTTCTGGCGAACCAGAGCTGCACACGAGACAGTAAAAGAGCAGTTCAGTGGGTTCGGTGGGAAAAAATATAAATATGTGTACCATCTTCATGGAGTATCTCAAGGAGCTGATCTACTTGAAGTTTATACAAATTTGGAAATTACCACAGTGTGCTATGGATTTTTTAGATAAAATACTGCCTGGTAATTAAAGATCAAAGTCAGTGCATGTATGCTAACTCCCTGCCTTGTTTCTTCCTCCTGCCTACTCTCTGGAACAACAAGGAGAATGTGTAATAAGATGAGTGCACACCCACCTACTGCCTTTCCTGAGCAGGAGGTGTGGCAGCAGTAGATCCTTTGGTTCTGTGCAGTCAGATAAGGAGGGTGTGTCTACCAGAAGCATGAAATCATGCCTTATGCCACTCCAGTTTTGATAACCTGTTCTGTTAAGCCCCTATTTTCACTAACAGGGTGAAAAGAGCTGTTGTTATAGAGGACAAGGTGGCAAGGAGTCTGGTCTTGAAAAAGACAAAACATCATCTTTGAAATTTAGAAGTAGGCTTTGTTGAAATTACTGGATCTAGCTTCAAAATAAATGTGTTTGTGGGAAGGAGAGGGGTTAGTTTAAAGTTTGAGAATGAACTGGGTATGTTTCTCAAGTGAACATGTTGATTCATTCACATGGGGAAGCATTCTTCATGTGGGCCTCTTCCTAATTTACGAATGGAATTAAGAGAAGGCAACTATACAGGCAAGGTAAGGCAATTAAGGTTTGCCACACCCATACAATTAGCATATTTTCCATTAGTTGACAAACGAGTTCCTAAACGAAGTACAGGACAGTCTGACCAAGTTGTTGTTATGTTCAGTCAGCTCTATGTGAAGAAATTTCTTAACGTGTATATATGTATATATGTGTGTGTTCGTATAGCAGCAGCCAGATCGTTTCTGGTTTTCTGTATCTTGGGATCAAAACCTCTAGATTTCCAGAATAAATTAGAAGTACAATAGTCAAGTAAATTTGAGACAAGCTGAATAGCACACTTTGAAGTTTGCTGGAGGCTGCTGGAATCATGTCCACACCTTTCAAACATTACAAACCACATGTGGTGCTGATGCTAAGACAAATGTTTCCAACGGCCTCCATATATTTCCTCATGACTTTTCAGGCTCATTACAGCTCATTTTTTAAAAACTGGCTGCACCACAAATCTTCTCATACCGTATCTGGATAACAAAGGAATTTGGGCCTTCTTTTCATCTCACCAACTCCAGCCTGGTGCAGGAAAAAGTAATCACAGCAGGCTGCCTTTCAGAGCCCTGCAGCATGAAGCCACACAACACAGGTGACACATATACCACACATTCCATAAAGCCAATGCTGCCATAGGTGTCTACTTTGTATTGCTTTAAAATTCATCTGCTATTATTTTCTGTGTTGTTTTTAACAGGGGTTTTCTTCTTTTTGGCTGCTTCTATTTTATTTTGTACATTGCCTTGAGGCATGTCTGTGTGGAAGGTGATTAATAAATAAAGACTGTGTAGTTGTGTTGGTACAAATACGCCCCAATAATCTGATTCTGGTACAGGTGCTTTTGAATATCTGTATTTTTAAAAATCAGATCAAGATAATAACATACAATGTTATTATTTGTCATCATTATTGGTGTCAATTTATTAAACAGTTGTCTCAAAATTATATATAATAAAAACAGCAAAAATGGTTTAAAAACACACATGCACGCAAACCGATACATTTTAAACAAAACTAAAACCATACAAAAGACACTCATACCAAAGACCCATTTATCTATCTTACAAAAGCCTGTTGGGACAAAAATGTCTTACAAGTGTTTCCTGAAAATGCAGATAGTGGATCCCTGTCCTATCTCGATAGGAATGCTGTTACACAGAACAGGGGCAGCCAAGCTAAAAGCCCTACTCCTCTACTAGGTATATTAGGGATAAGGCAGCCTCTCAAGTAACCTTGTTATGAGCTGTAGAATGCACACTTCTTCAGATATCTTCAGTTATCTGGTGTGCTTGCACACGAAAGCTTATACCCAGAACAAACTTAGTTGGTCTCTAAGGTGCTACTGGACAATTTTTCAATTTTTGTATTTATTTCTACTGCGTCAGACCAACATGGCTACCCTACCTGAATCATGAGCTGTAAAGTACAAGTAGCAGACTGGCAGTCTGTAAGCAAATCCTGCAAGCAGGGCATTGTATGCTAGTGGTAGTTTGCCCCCACAACCAACCAAACTTATGTTCTGTTCCAGTTAAAGCCTCCCAGCCAACCCCAAGAGTAGCCCCACACAGAGCACATTACAGTGATTCAACCATTAAGTTACCAGTGCATGCAAAACTGCAGTCATTAACCCGATCCAATAACAACCATAGTCAATTTACCGACCAAAGTTGGTAACTGGTATTCCTAGCCATCAAAGACATCTGTGCCTCCAGTGATAGTTGGATCCAGGAGCACCCTCAAACTATGTACTTGCTCCTTCAACGATAGTGTGACGTCATCCATCTAATTTATTCCAGGAATGCTTACAGCTCCATTACCACAATATTGCAGCTTACAAGCAATATTTCAGATTACAGACTCTTGGCCTCATCTCAGAATCCCTCGCCCCGAAGGTTTTTGGCCTCTTCTCCACATTCATAGTTATAAATAATCCCAATCCTATTGGATTTCAATACCAGTATTTTTTTAACAAATCTATCTGGAAAAGACCTAAAAATTTCAAGGAAAGCCTTTCATGCAAATACACAGGTGAAGGACAGGCTGCCCTTCTTAAGGAATTTGAAAGTATTCAAATTCTTACCTTGCCTTGTAGATATATATAAAGAGCACCAGCTGAAAAACAATAATTGGTGGGTGTTAAAATCATTACAACTCAAACTGAGGTGGCAAATAAATGGGGAAATGGACAAGGTCCACATAAAAGTGATTGGGTGAACAGTGTGGAATATGCAGTAATACACAACACCATATACACATTTAGTTCAGATTAGAGAAGGTAAGGAATAGGATGCTCACAAAAGGGATTTTGCTTTAAATCAGATGTGTTAATTTTTGGAAAAACTGTTATCAACAGAATATAGCTACTATATATATTTTACATTTTGAGGTAAACTGAAAATAATTGTATTATTTATGACAGCATTATTGTTATCATTATTTTTCTTAACTGTAATTGAGGGTTTTGCTATAAAAAGGAGCTGCCCTCTATCAGATATTGTAAATGCATTAAAAGCAATGGGTTAGAGATAAAATTGCAGAACTATCCAGTCCTTAAATGACATATGTTAAAATGGACAGCACCAATCCCAAATCCATTTGCACCAGTATAGTATTGATGCTATCATAGAGAAGAGAACCTGTTGCAGCCAAGCAACAGGATTGTACTGGCACAGGGCTAGGGGCAGTGCTATATCAATGTAATCAGTCATACACCAGCAGAATCCCATGTCAAGAATCACAAAAAAATTGATAGTCTGAGAAATGGTTTTGGCATGAAAGGAATTAAGAAGTGGCCAGCCTGTCCTCAATGCCAGGTTTGGATCCATTCCTTGCACCAGCATCATGAGAATAAAGTGGAGCTATACTTGTTTGGTAAGGGAACCTATCTGATACTTTGAGATGCATGCAATGGGACTATACCACTCTCCCATGTCTTTATATTAGCAACGGATATTACCGTATTTTTCGCCCTATAGGACGCACTTTTTCCCCTCCAAAAATGAAGGGGAAATGTGTGTGCATCCTATGGGGCGAATGCAGGCTTATGCTGAAGCTATCCGCAAGCCTTGCAAGCCCGGCGGGAGTTCCCGCGGGCTCTCCAGGTTTGCGGGCAGCAGCCTGCAGCCCGTCAAGCTTGGGGGACAGCGGGGAGGCGTAGCGCTGCCATCCCGCTGTTCCCCGACCTGGTTTGGAGGCTGCCAGCCCCACAAGCTCGGGGGACAGCGGGGAGGCGCAGCACCGCCATCCCGCTGTTCCCCGACCTGGTTTGGAGGCTGCAAGCCCCACAAGCTAGGGGGACAGATATCCGCAAGCCTGGGAAGACCAGCGGGACTTCCCGCCGGGCTCCCTAGGCTTGCAGATAGCAGCCTGTTCTGGGGGCTGGGGTCAGGGGAAGCTCGGGCATCCCCCGCCCCAGAGGGGGAAATAATTTTTTCCCCTTTATTTCCCCCCAAAAAAACTAGGTGCGTCCTATGGGCCGGTGCGTCCTATAGGGCGAAAAATACGGTACCTTTTTGGGACAGATGTAGGAAAATTTATCACTAGGTGGCCTTCCTGCCTGCACCATACTATCATCTAGCACTTTTTTTCTTTAAAAAAAAGTTTAGGGGCACTCTCATTTTCCTACTCATATTGAATTACTACCCCTCAATGAGGCCAAACTTAGATTCACAAAATATTTAGGGGTATGCGTATCCCTGCATCCCCACAGAAAAAAAAAGCACTGCTATCATCTACTTGTATATAATTTTATTCTCCGCTTAGGGATAACATAAGGATTCTTAATTCACCTACATTTGTATATATCAATCTAAATAGATGTTTCTTCATTACTGTACAATTACAGTACTATTTATACTTATGATGAATCTGTGTATTGGTAATTGATACCTGGCCAATTACTATTCTCACTTGTGTGTGTTCTGCTTATGGCAACTATATATTCTCTACTAGGAGCAGGAAAAAACCTCATTCAAAATGTTAAGGAATTTACAGCACCTCTCTCTGAAATTTCCATGCATTTATATTTATCTATATAATCATTTTTGTCCAAATAAATTGCAAATGGCATTAAACTAGGAATGGATTATACATATTCAGAAACCCATTCCAAACAGTAAGGAAATCCAAATAAGCTACACCCATCCCTTCTTCCCTGTACTCTGAATATGGTATTCACTGATAAAATACATTGTCCAATGAAACTCCTGTTCTGTTCTGGGTGGATTAAAAAAGGAATTCCTTCTATTGTAGTTTCAGTTTTAAAAACCCATTATATTTGCTTAAGCACAGTCTGCTTTAAAATAGCATGGATTAATATGCTCAACAGGAAGTTGGAAAGACAAGGTCAGATGTGGAAGTCTGTTATTGTTTAACTTAAATCACAAAACATTTACTTGGAAGTAATTTTCATTGGTTTCAGTAGAACCTACTTTTGAGTAAACCTATTTTGGACTGCAGCTTGACTCCTTGTAGTAAGCACATTTCAACCATTATGGCTCTGTGTGGAGCACTGCCATATGAAAGTGTTTTTCTAGAATATTAGCCCTGGTGTGTTTTCCACAGCTCAGGGCTCCAACACTAATGACTACAATTTCCATAATCCCAGAACTATGGCCATGCTAGATGGGGATTAAAAGAGATGCAGTTCAGTAACATCTGATGTATTTCTGCAATATATTAATTCTGACCCCACCTGCTACAGACATAAACATCCTTCTTATATCACTTCTTTTTAGGGGAGTGGTGTATACATCCGTTTACCCATGTGCACACACGTTTGTACACAGGGGGGCTACCCTTACTGTATGCCAGTAATATCCACAGAGGGCTGGCAACAAGTGTGAGGTACTCCTAGATCAGTGTTTCCCAACCGGTGTTCCGCGGCACACTAGTGTGCCGCGGAAAGTTGCCTTGTGTTCCGTGGGAGGGAGGCGGGCGAGTCGGGCGGCGAGAGGCGGGGCGGCGGCGGCGAGCACACGCGGGGCGGCGAGCGAGCTCCCTCCCACATCCCATCGCCGCTCGCTTCGGCCGGCCTACTGGAGGAAGGCGCGAAAACCTCGCGCATGCGCAGGCCTTCCGCCTGCGACAGCCCAGTAGGCCGGCCGAAGCGAGCGGCGATGGGATGTGGGAGGGAGCTCGCTCGCCGCCCCGCGTGTGCTCGCCGCCCGACTCCCTCCCACGGCACACCAGCCTACCTCCGTGGGAGGGAGGCGGGCGAGTCGGGCGGCGAGAGGCGGGGCAGCGGCGGCGAGGAGAGGCCGCCCAGCGCAGGGCTCTTGCCGTCTGCCTGCCTGGCTGCCTGCGAGCTCGACGGGCAGCGCTTCCGCCCGCAGCGCCCGCCTCGCGGCTCTCATTCCCTGCCCCTGCCAAAGCTCACCCAGCCAAGCCGCGCTCTCCTTCCTGCCTCGCTTTGCTGCCTCCTCCCCCCCCCCACCCCCAAAGCTTGGAGGTTCCCCGGCAGGAAGGAGGGAACTTAATCCTCTCCAAGGGCTGCGGAAAACAGACATGCAAATGGGGGCTTGCCAGCTCTTCAAGCGCCGCCGGCTTTCTTCGGGAATTACCGCCCGCCGAGCCCGGTAACGCTGACAGGCCGAGCCGCGGGGCTTGGCAGCGCAGCCGGCAGAGTGTGGGAAAGGGCGGCCGCCACGCGCCAGGCAAGGCGAGACTCGACGGGGAGGACACCAGCAGCAGCGCCCCCCCCCCAGAAACCTGCTCCGGGCAGGTAATTCACAGAGAGTGGACAGAAGGAAGCCTTAAAGGGCTTCAGCCTCCCAGAGTGGCGGGGAATAATAATAATAATAATGATAATAATAAAATTGACAGGGGGTGTTTTTCTAGGTGAGGGGGTGGGGACTGTAATAACAAAAAAATCAGCTCTATATCAACCGCTGTTTTGCAATGAGAAATTGCAAATAAGGAAGATCAAAAGGAGAATGTTTTTTTTGGGGGGGCTCTCTTCCTCTTCCTCCTCTCGTTCTTGCTCCTCTTCCTGGCAAAAGGGCTGCTGAGACCCCTTCTCTCTTGGGTGCCGGTGGGTGCTGTGACGTTGACGCTGCTGTGGCAAGTGCCTTTACTTAGCAGAGTGCATTCCCCTTTACACAGGAGGGGAGGGGAAAAAATTGAAACTTACACTTTCGTGCGTCCCTCCCGGCGCGACGCTGCGCGCTGACGTCACGGGGCTGTAATGGTGGTGTGCCTCGAGATTTTTTTCATCAAACAAGTGTGCCTTTGCCCAAAAAAGGTTGGGAAACACTGTCCTAGATAGAGGCTAGTCAAGAATCTTAGAATTAGCTTAATAGGATGCCCCTTTCCATGACCAACAAGAGAAACTGTTTTCAGCAAGCACTTACAGAAGGCCTCTGGATCTTGTGACCAATGCTTTGGAGTGGGGAGGTGTTAAAATAGGAAATCCTGTTTTCTCCTGGGAATGATGTGGTGTGCAAAGCATGTCCTGTGGGTACTAGGAAATTGGCATGTTTTGTTCATTTATACAGCAGCCATATAAATGCAACTCACAAAGCAAACAAAAAACGGTAGAATACAGTGTTAAAAGAATAAAAACTGGGACATATTGAATTTAAAAAATCCGAAGCACAATTAAAACAAAATACCATAGCGAAGAAATGTGGATTTCGGTGAAGGATATTTTTGGGGGTTGAGGGGTTGCTTATTTTAAAAAGAAGCCCATTAGGGAAAGGGTTTATGCAGCCACTATGTATTAAAAACAGCCTGCTGGGTCAGTCCAACCGCCCTTTTAGTCCCTGCGCCCGTTCTCACAACGACTACCCCAATGCCTGTGAGGAAGCCCGCGCAAACGAGCCCCCTCCAGCAGCTGGGTTTGCAGCTGCTGGAACGATATAGATTCTGCCTCCTTCAGCCAGCATTTCTCTCAGGGCGAGTGTTAACAAGTCTGTGGGGTAGGGCCTACCTGATTTTTCATTTTATTTGCACAGAGCGCCCCGTGTTCTTAGGTGCAATATACCACTGACAACTCATGACGACGCTCATGCATCTTCGCCATTGTGAGGGCAAAAGAAATTGAAAAAACGCCTTGAGGGAGCCTCTCGGAGATAAGCAGCGCCTCACCGCCCTGATTTTACAATCGATAAGCGAAAGGGCGGGTGAGTACAGAAGCATGTTTATGGCGTCGACGAGCCCCCTTCTCTCTCTCCCCCCTCAAAAAGAATATTCTAGTCCAGCGCCCGCAACGCGCGCGCGGCATTCCTCCGTCGGCACCACGTGAGCGCCAAGAATTTATGAGGGCGAAGGCTCGCTCGCGCGCGGACGCCACACGCGCGCACACACATTCTCTCTCTCTCTCTCTCTCCAACCAACCCCTCCCAGGCGAAGATTCCCCTAAGGTGGAAATCTGCCGTTGGGTAGCCGCGTGCGCCTCTTTCTCATTCGTTCTGCTGGGCGCGAGCTAGCGTGGGTGACGTGTCCTTACCAGTGACCAATTGGAGCCCGGGCGAGGCAGAGTCAGACGGCGCCCCGCCTGCGCCTCCCCGCCTCCCTCCCCCGTCGCGGGGCGGAGCGGTTCCTCTCAGGCAGGCGCTGGCTGGGCAGTGATGGCGGACGATGGGGATGGGAAGCTAAGGACTGAACAAGGAGGCGGCGGCGGCAGCAGCCCGGAGGAGACGGCCGCCGGCAGCTGGCTCGGGGGGAGCGGCGGCCTCGACATGCTGCTGAGCTTGGCGCTGCTGGCGATCGTGGCGCTCGCGGCCTATCGGCTCTACAGGCGCTGGGGCAAGAGGAGCGGAGCGGGGGGCGCGGCGCAGCAGGGCCTGGTCGACTCCTTGCCCCGCATGAAGCGGCGGGACTTCACGCTGGAGCAGCTGCGCGAGTACGACGGCGCGCGCGCGGCGCGCATCCTCCTGGCTGTCAACGGCAAAGTCTTCGACGTGACCAAAGGCAGCAAGTTCTACGGGCCCGGTGAGGGGGACGGAGGGAAAGGGGGCTAGCGGGGGAGGGGGCGGCGTACATGCCTCCTGGTTGAGCGACGGTGGGACAAAGGCCTGGAAGGCGGGAGAAACGCCCTCCCCCCAAGTAGCAGGTGTAAGTAAGTAAGTGGGAGTGGGGAAAAGGCCCGCTTTACCCTCCCACATGGGTAGGTGGAGAAAGAAGATATAGCAGGCTCCAGACCAGGCTGGTTTCCCCGGCCTTTTGGGGGGGGGGTTTCCAGGGCACATTTTGAGGCAGGGAAAGTGCCACGGGCACCACAAAATACCCATTTCGCAGAAGGAAAGCTGGTGATCTCCTCTGAACTCTCCCTTCCAAAACAAAAGGTAAACACACACACCCCAAATAAAATGCAGACAAGGAAGCAGACAGCATCTACACAGAAACAAGTAGCCCACACCAAACGAAACTGAAGAATGCAAAATTTAAAATAATTATTTTTAAAAAAAAACCCAAGGAGGTAGGGGGCCTTGGAGAATATGAGGGATTGTGGGCATGCCATGGTGCCCACAAATACAGTCTTGGGCACCTAAACTTCAGTCCTAGTTTTGTTCACACATCTGCTTTACTTTCAGACATTTAGTCCCTTTTGAATGCATATTTGCCCTGGAGTGAACAAGCTGTCTTTGGCATATTTGCTTCCCAGATTTTCAGAAATCCCGAGGCTGACTTGTTTCCTTTCCCTACACATGTAATTCTCTGGATTTTGATTAACTAGCTAGAAATAGTTCCAGCCTTTTACAATGTGAGTTGGCATCCAGTTTCATTTTATTAAGGTTTGGATATTTTCTCTTTCTGCAAGTCTCTCAGCAATTGCAATGATAATTGGGCTGCAGTCTTACACATAGCTACAACAGAATAAAGTTTATAATAAGTTGACGTGGAGCTGTGGACTTAATCGTATACTGGTCCTAACCATGTACAGATAAAGGCTTATTGATTCATATCTGCGCAAAGTTCTTGGCAGCTGGAATAAAATTTGTCTTGCTTCTGATTAGATTTTGCCTAATATATATTAAAGGAGGCAGGAGATTGGCAATATATAATCCAGTTCTTAATATGTTTACTTGCAAGTAAGTCCTTCTAAGTAGCAGGTTTAATAATTAAACATTATTTTATTTAATAAGCTCACAATGATCTTTTGTGAAGTATATAGTAGGTAGTGAAGGAAAAGTAGGGCAAGGATTTTTTTAAAAAAATCGTTGTACATAAAAGTTAATAGTTAGAATAGATATTTCTGCAGTTGTTTATTTTTAAACCTGCAACCTGGTTAAAGAAATTTACAAATTATAAGACTTTGGGGCTGCATTTTTTTAATTAAAAAAATGCGCAACCAATGGAGCATCTGTGGCCCTCCTGATGTTGTTGGACTTCAGTTCCCATCTGGCGGGGAACAATATCTGGAGGTTCATATATTCCCCATCCCTGCTGTACTCACTAGCCTGGGGGTCAGCCACATTGAAACTCTAATTGCCTTGGTTCTGTGTACACACAGATGTGCATACTGTAAGTGAGTTTGTATAAAGTTAAAAACTTTTCCAAACACAAAGCATAGACAATGTACACATAGGATGTAGTAGGCATGCTAGAAGAGGCATTCTTCTGTGTAAAAGAATTGTGAATACCTCTAAAAATAGTGTTGCAATGTGTTTTGAAGGTAATTTTAAAAGATCTATCCATTAATCATGATATTTTTAATTCATTAAAGACCTTAATTAAGTGGTTAAACTTGGTGGCACTGTTTATATAAATATCTTGCTGACCACTTACGCACTGCAAATGTGCAACTTGTGCTGGTGAAGTAAAACAGTGGTAATGTAGGTACAAATAGATAACATGCCATTTGGGCTACTAAACCTTCCTCCCTGAATACTGGAGTCAATTGTGAGAATTCGATGCTGGAATAGGTATCTATTGTGTCTTGCATTGTGCTGAGCATTGAAACTAATCTTTTCCAGCTCTCTCTGCAGGCTATATACTGGCCACAATATGCTAACTATCAAGTAGGTATCTTGACATTTTCACTATCGCACAATACAGCAGTCCAAATCACAGTGATCCCACAACTGAAGAAATGAATCTCATTTTCCCAGCATCAATATGTTTTGATATTTAATAACAAAAAAGTACTATTAGAAAACTAATTCTTAAACTATTATAACTACTTAAAGAATAAGCAATATGTGTATCTGTTGTGTTGTAAACCTTCCTGGAAAGTACCTTGGAAGACTCCTACAGAAGATCTTCAGCCTTCTAACATGGATGGGTCACTAAATGAATTATGAATAAAGGAGACATCTTTTATAAGAATATGCTTGTCCATCTAGCACTGAAAGAAGTGTTGGCTTATAAACTTGAGGTTAGAATATGTGACTTCAGCAAATCAAATGATTCTGAGTCCAAAGCACAATAGAGACTGGTAAGCACTCCATGTTGATGGAGATTTTATTTCTTATATTTTGCCCTTCTCATGAGAGTGCAGGGTGGCTAGAAGCAAAGGGTAGAGTAAAGTAAAAGCACACTACAAAGTATACAAAGTCAGCACTAAATTAGAGAATACCATATAAATTATTCCACTCTTACTAAACCCCAAAGGCCTCTTGGAACAAATAGGTATTTGGTTGCCCTCTGTGGGGAACAGTCTGAGTGTGGTAGGGAGAGGGTTCCACAGTCAGGGCAAGACCATTGAGAAGGCCCTGTCTTGTGTAGCAATCTTCTGGGTCAAATTCACTGAGGGTACACTGCAAGCTAGGCTTACCCTGCAGATCTCAAAACAAGTTTGCTGATACTAGGGAAGGCATTCCTGCAAGTACTTGAGTTCTAACCCATTTTTGAATGCTATTGCCTTATTGAATTGGACCTGGTAGGCTAGCACAATTCTTTCATGTTCTCTGTCATTTACCATTTCTTGCTGCCCTGTACAACAACTGGACAGTAGCACTCTGCGGCAGCTGCAGCTTCTAGATCATCTTTAAGGAAACACCCATGTAGATTGTGTTGCGTTAGTTCAATCAGGAGCTGTCTGAGTGTGGACAACTGCAACTAGGTCATCCTGATCCAAGAACACCTTTAATTGGTCAACTAGCTAGAGCTGGCACTCCTATCGGTGGATATCCAGGTACACCCCCCAAAAAAAACCTATGCACCTGTTATTTTAGGAGGAGTGCTACTAACAGGCTACTAGTTCTGAGACATGAGAATCACCTACTCACAACACATCCAGCTTAAGAGTATTAATAGAACACAATAAGCCAAACTTAGGCATTTCTCAACCTCCTCATTTCTGTAAAAGTTATGCTTATGCTTTTGAAGTCCATAGATAGCAAAATGTTTAGCTTTGTCTAGAATTTGCCTTTTTCATGGAATCGAAAACCTCCCTGAATTAACACTTCAGTAGCATAACAATAAATATGTGACAGTCTGTATTGTTCAGCTGCCCAGGTGATTTCGTTTTTTGTAACTGCTATGATATCAGAATAGATTTGGGTGAGGGGTTTATGAACAATACAAACAGCAATACAAACAGGTGAGAATTTTACTACTATTGTCGGATACCGATTTCTTTGGTAATCTTAACTGTTACATAGTGAAGCATTATTATGCTTTAAAATTTACAAATTACAGTATTTGTTAGGACAACAAATATAACCTGCCCTGGGATCATTAATCTGATGAACAGAGGCCTAGACCTTGATTACTTATTTCAAAGTAATCAAAAAAACAAAATCAAACTAATGTCCCAATTGATATATCTACCATTGCTTGCCAGCAAACAATAAAATTGTGAGCCCTTCTTTCCTCTGCCTTTCATTGACATACCCATTTTGGCTAGTTCCACACATGTTAATAGACACTCCTAAACAGATGGAGAATTGGTGTATTTCCGGTTTCTAGCGCATACTATTTTAGTAGCAGTTAAGTTCACAATTTTTTTTTAGGGATTCCAAGTACAATCATATCTAATGTGACTAATAAAGGGTATGTATGTATGTATGTATGTATGTATTTAGCCACTCGTCATCCCTAGATCTCAGGGTGGTTCACAAGATAAAAATGCAATATAGTAACCACAAATATAATAAAAACAAAAATAATATAATAATAAAAACAAAAAGAAGCCATGCAGTTTGAGATACTATTCTCCAGGTTTCCTAGGTTTCAGATACTATGCTGTCCCCAGGGAGGCTTGCCTGGCACCTTCATTTCATCTCTTTAGGCACTAAGCAAAACCACTCTTCATCCAAGGCCTTTGGCTAAAAACAACTACAGTACAACCTTTTTTAACTGTGGAGGGGTATTGCTTTTGTTTGTTACTATGTTATTTATTGTTGTGTCTTTATATTGTAAACCACTCTGATCCTCGGATGAAG